GCACCACGCCCCACGTGGGCAGGCGCAGAGGGGAAGCCGTCCGATCAGCTGGAGTGTGGTTCAGCCTCCTCCGGGTCGAAGGCCACAGCCAGCTGGCCAGCCAGCTTCTCCTCTGCACCAGCCCACGTGGAGCTTGGTGTACCCTGGTTGAGCACCATGGCCAGCTAGCCAGGAAGCCACTTCTCTTCGCTCCCGCCCGGCTGCCCTGCGCTCAGCCCGGGAAGCTTGCTGTTAGTGTTAGTATCCCAACACTGTCCAGCCTGGAGCCCCCTCCCCAAGCCAGTGTCCCCTTCTCCACCTCCTCCTGCATCCAGATTTCCTCCCAGATCTTGCACCTCTCACCCCTTCCCACACCCAAATCCCTCATTCCCACCCCAGAGACTACACATCCTGTCTCAACACAGCAAGGGTCCAGCTAGACTGCAGGAGTTTTTCAGGATTCTGGAGATATCCCAGAAAAACTCTTCTGCATCCAGGGTTGCATTTGTTCTTCCACTTTTTTAGTGGAAGAGCAAATAGGCTCTTTTGGTCACCCCTATATTCCTCTTTCCACAAGGAATAAGGTGGCTTCCAAAAGAAGGGGTTTTTTTTCTGACATTTGGTCCAGTCTAGACAGGCCAAATGTTGGAAAAACCTCTTCCTACAGAATTTTTTTTTTAAAGCAGCAGTATAAGGATTGGGGATAGCAAGTGATGGAGAGGAGGAGAATAGAGAGGGTGGGGCGTCAAGGAAGGGGCAGGGCGTCAAGGAAGGGGCGGGGCAGTAGATCGTGGCTTGGTCTGTCATTTAAAAAGTGATCTTGGGTGTAAAAAGGTTGGAGACCACTGCACTAGGAGGATGGTGAAGCACTGGAATGGTTTACCTAGGGAGGTGGTGGAATCTCCATCCCTAGAGATTTATAAGTCTGGGCTTGACTTTCTGGGTTGATTTAGTTGGGGTTGGTCCTGCTTTGAGCAGAGGACTAGACTCAATGACCTCCTGAGGTCTCTTCCAACCCTATGATTCTATGAGCTGAGTGATAATCCTGTTTTCGGTTTCTCATGCACAGCAATACACATGCCATCGATAGAAACACAAAGATGTTATGAATGCAAATGCATTCATGCTTACAAATGGCTTTAAAGAACCTCAGTATAAGCAGAAATGGAATTGCAAAACACTGTGATCATTACAAAACTAAAACCTAGTTCAGTAGAAAAATATATCGGGAATAAGGCTGATATACACAATTCTCTAATATTTTTGATCGTGACTGGAGCGAGTGTGTTTCTACCCATAATAGTTTTGGGTTTTGTCTCGGACTGAAGTATTTAAAACGTTTGAGCAAGGATGCGGATCACAACACTTTTACTGTGACTGCTTCATTGAAAAAGATAATAACGTTATCATTAGGGGGAGATGGTTTTCTTGCTTAAATCTCACTGTAGCATGTTGAACCATTCACTTCCTCTGCTTTGCTTGCCTTCATTAGGTGTCTCAGAGAGAGCTGTTAAAATTGCTCTATTTCTTTACCTTTTGTAACTAATGGAAGGTTAGAGTATAGTTCATGGTAATGGTTTTAATTCCACTGTAAATAAGGAGAGATCACCTCTTACAAAAAATCTAAGGGTGAGTGGCATTTAACAGCTTTGGTATTTATTTTTTATCTCTCTGGCCAAATAATTACAGTAAGTATTTAGGTAAAAATACAAAGGGAGTCATGAACAACTTAGCATCCAACATTTTGCAGTAATTGCATTATTGCTGTATATCCTATTCTCATAAGGTAGGTCTACACTGCACAGTTATTTCAGAATAAGCTATTCTGGAATAGTTATTCAGAAAGAGCTTATTTTGAAATAGCACGTCTACACTGCAGGGAAGCCTCAAAATTAGTCCAAGGCAGGCTTCCCTAATGCAGACATGCTATCTTGATTTAGAGCCCTAGGAGGAATAATTTAGAATGGCCCTGGTGAGGGGCTATTTTGAAATAGCTATTTTGGAATAAGCATTATTCCTCGCAGAATGAGGTTTATAGATTTCAGAATAAGTGGTTCGTTATTTCAAAATTATTCTTATTTCAAAATAACACTAGGTATCTCGAAATAACGGTGCAGTATAGATGCACCCTAAGAGATCAAAGCTGATTCTGGTCATTCATGGATGATCATATTCCAATATCAAGATGTGACTCCTGTGAATTTGAAAACCTGTGGATATGTTGCAAGTGCATCTGGATCAAAGTAGTAACATTTCTCCAATCAAGAACTCTCAACACAGCAAAGTTAAAAAAATAAGATAGCCTAAAATATCCCTTACTCCTGTAAGAGTCTGTTAGAATGAATTTTGTACTGCTAAGAAAAAGTTATAATGGTGGTAAACAGTCCAAGAAAATTGACAGTTGTATACTATAGGAAGATAAAGGCAAACCATATCCCTGCACCAGTCCACCATCACTGTGTTAGGCTTTTAATTTTTGAGTGTGCCTGACTGGGACTATTTTATGGCATGTCACACAAGCTTCTCTCAAAATTAAGATCAGAGTTGTCTATACCAGCATAATAGAGTTGCACAACTTATAGGCTTACCATCCACCCCATTTTTATCTGGACAGTCCCTTGTTCAAGACCTCCTGCTGGCATCCCAACTTTCTTTAAGAAAAATGGGCACATTATACTATATTTCCCCTGCAGCAGGGGCAGGGGGTAGGGGGGAAACACCAGCACTCAGGGCTACAGCCACTGAAGCCCCAAGCACTGGCAGCCCCCCTTCCCCACTGCAGGGCTGAAGCCCCAAGTCCCAGCAGCCCCTCCTCCCCTTTGCGATAAAGCCCTGAGTGCTGGCAGCTCCCCCCCAACCCCCGCCTTGGTGTCCCATATTCGGCATAGGGAAATATGGTCACCCTAAGCTTGTAGCACTATAATTTTAAATAAATCTTTAAAATCTTACCTGATTTCATACACACACACTTATTATACTTCTCTGGTTCACAGCACTACAGCAGAAACAACTTCATTCAAATAAGGGAAGCAGTGGGATTTAAACCAACAAAATTATTAGTTATTTTTCTAGTGTGATAGGAATTAGGGCACCACTGATTAGGCGCCATCCCAAAAGAGTAAATCCTTGTCCCAGTGAGCACAATGTAGGATTTGACCAGTACACGAGTTAATAAATGGATAAATGAAGAAAGGGAGGAGGGATGAAGCAGAAGTAGAGGCAAGCGTGTTGCCTAAATGAATTACAAGTAGGGATTGGAATGTTAAAGCCAAAATGTCATCCTTTAATTACACATTGATAAACTACAGAGTTCTCCAAAGGAGGGTATTTACTAGTTTTTATGGAACAATATCTTGTCATAAAACTTTGAAAGCTGAAAAGGTAGCCCAGGAGTCAATGCTTATTTTTCCACTCTGAATTTTTAACCTTTTGTAAATTGAAGGCAGCTTAGGAATTTCTTTAAATAACAAATGCCAAGTATCTAAATCCTGGTGGACTAGAACATAACATTTCAGTTTGTTTACCTCACTGAAATGTTCAGCATTAATGTTTAGTTGCACCTACCTTTGAGTAGCAATACCAATACATTTAAAAAACACTCACATTAGGGAAAGGAGAATTAGATGACCATTTAGGATTTCCTCAAGATTCGTACTTCATCTATGAAGTCCTTAATCTCAAGCTACACCACATTAATACAGGCTTTCTGCAGTTCGGGATTTATTCTGTTTTTTTTTTAAACTTGTGCAAATAACCATCAGCTTGTTTAAAATATAAAACTTTGGCATTTTAGAGAAACTGTAATGACACGATAAACCCAATTTGGAGGCTGGTTAGTGTCACGTAAATTAATTTGCCTGTTAAATGATCAGGGTCGCGTCTACCTTTTTCACTACCATCTGCCTCACAACAAAGTTGGCACTGTAGTCCTTTGAGAGGTGAACTATAAAAGTGTCATTCTAAAAGGGCTTATTAACAAAATCCCTTTTATGTTCCAATTTTCTTGTTACTTGGTCATGATCACGTGAGGCAAATTGATAGAAAGCACTCAAATGTCCATATGGCATGCCTTGAGAAAAACACAGAACAAATGTGTATTTAGATATTCTACCTAATCTTTCAGGGGTTTGCCTAAGTGATTGGTCAGAGCTCTACCCATAAAGAGATGGCATATGAAAGGTGGGATTTTTCCTCTTTGCTCTCTTGACCATGAGAGTCATGCATGTTTCCATTGCTATGAAGTAGAAAGACAACAAACAGCTTTTCCAGATCTTGCTTTTGATATTTTTTCCCTTGCAACTCCACTCACGTTTGTCACACTCAGTAGTCCTGTTTTGTTTCTCTGCATAATTGGCACTTTGCCAGAGAATGCTTACCACGAATGTGACAAATATGAAGATTTCCGGCAATATTCTTGAAAAATCTTATTGAATTAAGTTTGTCTCTTTAGAGTCCAGTGAGGTAAATGCAAAGTTTATGTATTATTGTGGGATAGGATTGTATATTGCATTTCTTGGGAGAGGTGAATTTTCCACTTCTGGTTATACAAAAACCCAGCTTTTTGAAGTTATGCCGTGAGGGGAGAACCATTATTTGCTGCTTTCCTGTTGCTGGAATCTGGAGATCAAAGTCCAAGTGGTATAACGGAAAGACAGAACTATTTATGGGGGTATGGCTTCTGAACTAAGGCTGCTATGAACTTGGAACCTGTGATGGGGTGTATCAACTCCACACTGGCAAAGCAAGGCCTAAGAAGCTACTCTAGACAAAGAAGCCATGCCACCTCACCTCTGCTGAGCATGTTCCCAATGTCCTCAACATTCAGAAGGGAGCAGCTCAACTCAGTCTGGGATGACTGAGGAGGAAAATGTCAGGAAGCCACCAGGGTTCCAAGCTTCCAGGACTGAGCCTTGTAGCCGAGCAACAGAAGGGCCTTTCACTGTGTCAAGAGTAAAAACTCACAGTGACAACCCAAAGAGACACCAGAGATGAACCAGAGAGGAATGCAGGAAGAATCCCTTCTACAAACCATGATGACGATGGAGGGACAAGAGCAAGTGTAGAAACTGACTGAGAGAACGTGCTTAAGGGCACCAGACACCAGGCCCCACACAGAGACTATTATTTTGAAAGGCATTGGATCAGAACCCAGGGGACTAGGGTAGGCTTGAGTGCCTCTTACCCCACTTCTGCAGTGCTCCCCAATCTGTAGCCACTAGGCGAAGCAGCATTGGGATGTTTGCTATTAGGCATACCCTGGAATAGTGCCAGCCCAGATCATAAAGCCAGCCTCTGATATAACCACACACACACACACACACACACACACACACACACACAACTCTCTTAGGGTTGGAAGGACTGACTCCTACCAGAGTCTGATTTGGAACTGGGGTGATCTCTGGTAAGTTTGTTTGCACAGCTATAGGTTTTTTATTGTTTTAAATATGTTTTCTCCATAATCCTTCAACCTTAAGAATAAATGTGCTCAGTTAGAAAGAACTGTGGTAGCTCATTATGGCTGTCAGTTACATTGTTCGTAGCCTTCAAACAGAAAACAAAGCAGTATGCTTTCTGGGAGCATCACAGTATAGATAAGAAGCTGAATGGCCTGGAAAAACCGCATGCAAGAGGAGGAAAGATGTGTTGAAGGCTACGGAGCCAGGAACTTAGAGTGGGTGCCCTTTAGTGATAACAATTGTATATCTTGGTGTCACCATCCAAAAATCACTCACAGAATCTAGAGATTGAAATGATCCTTTCAGATGCTTACAAATGACATTTTTCTCAAGGGGCTAAAGTGTTTCCTGCTTTGGGAGAAAACTGTGAATTGAAAGCATAGAAGGAGCTGAACTTCAGGGGACGTTGGGAGTTAAACCCAGCTAATAACCCCACTAACAACCACAATATAGATTCTTCAGAGGGGTAGCTGAGTTAAGCTGTAATGGGAAAAACTTAAAAAATAACCAATAGTCTAGAAGCACCTTAAAGACTAATAAAACATGTTGGGGGAAAGGCCAATCCTCGCCTACAGACAAGCCCCTAACCTCAAACAAATTCTTTCCAGTAACCATGCAACACACCTCCATCCTAATCATCCAGGAACCCACCCCTGCAATCAGCCCCAGTGCCAATGCTAACCACACATTTACACTAGCAATTTCATCACTGGATCCAACCACATCAGCCATCAAATCAAAGGCTCATTTAACTGCACATCCACTAATGTGATCTATGCCATCAAATGCCAACAATGCCCCACTGCCACATATACTGGCCAAAGTGGACAGTCTCTATGGGAAAAAAATTAATGGACACAAATCAGATATCCGAAAAAGCAACACACAAAACCTGTTGGAGAACACTTTAATCTGCCTGGACACTCATTAATGGATCTCCAAGTCACCATATTGTTTCAGGCCAATTCCACAACCAAATACACAGGGAAGGATTGGAACTTAACTTAATTTACAAGTTTAATTCTTATGCTAATGCTATGAACAGGGACATTGGTTGGCTCGCACACTACCTTCCACATCCTAATGACTTAACCAACCAAACAAACAATGAAGGCATTGTTTTCTTCCTCAGTCATTAAATGCAACTTCTTTTTTAACATCTAGAAATAAATGACATTGTCATTTCCTGGGTGGAGGTTCCTTGAAGGCCTGCACATTCAGAGATGCAGGGGAAATTATTGATATGATGTATGAAGATTTGGTTGCATTGCTTCCATTAATTTTATTGAGAATCATATAGCTAAATTCCCACTCTGCATGCTATTATTTTACCCAGTACAATAAATACAGAGCAAATATAATTTGTTTTAAAGAGGATAGTGCCATTTTTACTTTAAGTTCTAAACCCTTCATCTCTCTTTCTTATTATGAACCACAAACCACAAACATATATGTAGAAACAGTATGTTTTCTTCATCCATTATCATCTCTGCCAAATACACAATTGAAAAGGCCTGTCAAGGTATCTTACATTATTTTTAATCTGTTTTCCCCCCCACTGCTTATAAAAACTCCATAGAAGTTTGAAACTGAAGTCAGCTTTCTTGGTTATAACTTTCCCATGCTCATGCATAATACCTGCTGTTTGTACAGAGATGTCAGCAGTGGTTTATTTTAAGTTATTTGTAAGAAATCTAGTTGTGTGACTTCATACCTAGCTATAAGCAAAACTAACATAGCAGTAGCTGTGTGTGAGACTTGCATTTCACTTTACAGGAGTTCCTGAAAACTGTGTGAGTACTTTCTAGCCATCTGTGGTCACACCCACTAATTCAGTTAAAAACTCTGAATTTCATCAGGCTGAAGGTCAAAATTTGGGCCCCCTCTTATGTGACAATTACAACTCACTATCTTCAGAAAAGTAAAAAAGAATTGACTTCCTTCAATTTGATGGAACCTAACTGCCAGGAAATAGCCAGATAAAGTCTCTAGAAAAACTGGCATACTACCAACACGCATGCACACATTTGCACTTAGTATATGCTAAACTGAAAACTAAGATTGCAATAGGTTGACAGTAGGCACAAAAAAAGGAAACTTTGAAGTGATGCTACGTTGTTCTCACTGGGGGGAAAATATCATTCTGGAAAAAAAGCAATTGCTGCATGTTACTGAAAGGCACTTAGAACTGATGTTCCAGGTTAACAACCCTGATTAGTCGACCAGACCAAACCCATTCTGGGCTCTAAGGAATAACTCGTCAGCTACAAAAATATCATTGCTACCACATATTAGGCACCATGGCCATCTCCTGAGTAGATGCTGTAAGTGGTGGAGTTTTTCTATATCATGTAACACTTAAGCAATTTTGGGCATCCAAACTGGAAAAAAAATCATAAAATCCCCAAAAAGGGCCACAATTTGCAGAGACCATTTGATTTTGACCAAAATTGGCAGAAAGTTACTAAATACAATTGATAATCCAACTACAGGTTGAACCTCTGTGGTCTGGAACTCTCTGGTCTGGGAAGGACCAC